CGATCTCCTTATGTCTCCCTGTGGCACCCGGGACCCCCTGAAAAATCCCCCAAGGAACCCCCCACCCCCCTTCCCCTTGTACTGTCCGTACACGTTTTGATTTTGGACCCCAACATTCATCCGCCATCCGCCAGAGAGCGCACGAGGGAATCCACAGATACATTCAACGGAGGGAGAGATCGAGGGGGGGGGGGGAAGGAGAGACAGAGAGAGAGGGNGGGGGGGGGGGGGGGGGGGGGGGGGGGGGGGGGGGGGGGGGGGGGGGGGGGGGGGGCGTTGAGGGAGAATGAGAGGGAGAGAGAGAGGGAGAGAAACAGAGAGAGAAGGGAAAAAGAGATAGAAAAAGAGAGAAAGAGAGGAAAGCAGAGAGGGAAAGGGCGAGGATAAACAGACGTCCACAGAAAAGAGACAAAAGAGGCAAGGAAACAAGCGGGTCCGTGAGCGGTGCGTACAAGTGGAACAATCTTTAGAATGATCGTCAGCACAACGGTAACGGTGAAGCACGACTCCACTACCGTACCTCCCATCAGTCAAACCGTGGACCATGAGGCGAACCATGCCGTACCGGCGACGGTAACAAACCAAACGAAATAAAATAAAACAAACAATACCATATACCGTATCGTGATGCAAGAACCACACCGCACAGGCCAACGGAAAACGTGTGGCGTGGCAGGCGCTACCGTCAACCACCACGAAAATACGACCTTCAGCAACAAGGGCCCAAACAAAACAAGAGGAGCTTGAGGTGCCACGCGAAGCCATGAGACCGCGACCTACAACCCGGCAAGCACTAGGACCGAGAGACTACAAATAACGGTACCCGCTGCACCCGCTGCACCCGCTTGCCTACTACCCCTCCATGCTACTTCCGTATCCGCGATCACAGACAGCGCGACCTTCCAGCCCCGCTCCTCGCGAAAGACTTGCAAGTATTCTTGCTACGGAATATCACAACGCGGGTGTAGTTCCTGAGATACCATGTACGATCGAAAACAGCAGCAGTGGTCGCTCGTGCTTTTGGGCAGTTGTGGAACCCATCATGTCCAACAGCCAACGAGATGGTCAACCGCGTAGAATTGTCCCGCCTTTTCCTTGTTGCACCTGTTGATTTGCCCCTGTCTCAATTCGGAAAGAATTCTTCACCGAAACGCTTGTCGCAGCAGTAGAGTACAGAAGAAAAAAACATATAGACTACTGTCTTCCCTACCTTGTCCAGAACATCCTCAACGATCGCCGTGGCCGCTGATGGTTCTGTCACCGGATCCAACTCCCTGTGTGTCGTGTTGAGGGCGAAAACAAGGGGAGATGCATCAAATACCGCGTCAACCCCGAGGCATGCATGCAGAGATAGGTCGTAAAACTCAGAGGGCGGGACAGCATCGCTGAAAACGAAACTTGTCGAGAGCCTATCGGAACTGGCAAGAGGTCCAGCCGGTCATCTAAATACCGCTGTGCGCACGGCATGCCTCGGCCGAACGAGCGAAACATGAATGGCACGTCGTTCGGAGGAGCACATCACAGAAACGCACATCGAAAAACAAACCTGACAACGCAACACTCGCAAGAACCTGTAGCGCAAGCCCAAATGCCCAACACAACCGACAGGAAAAACACCGTTCTCTCGTTTTCACCCTCCGGTCCGTTGCAACCCCCCCTCCTCTCGAGGATACGTGGTCAATGGTCGAACCGCCAAGGCATGCCAAACAGAAGAGTACGCTCCCCCCTCCCCGCCCCCGCCCTCACCTGTCCACGGAGATGTCCTCCCACCGCTTGAGCTTCCCCCCAGCAACCACGCAGTACCGGTACGTGACCTTCTTGTTGAGGGGCACCGGGACGGGGCCCGAGCTCCACACGGGGTAGCTCGACGGGTCGGTCACCAGCCGCAGGGCGCGGGAGGGGTCCTTGGCGCCCAGGGAGGGGCAGGAGCCGCAGACGTAGATTACCTCCCCGTGGCCCAGCTTGGCCTCCACGGCGAAGGATAGCTCGTACGCGGGCGGCGGGCGGGTCGGCATGATGCTGCTCGAGGCGTCGTCAGCAATGTCTCCCAAAGGGGGGCCCCGCTGAGGCGCTCCCACTAGTGTTGGTGGTGGTGCTAAGGGCAAATCGATAGCGGGGTGGCGGAGGCGGTCTGTGCAAAAAAGAAGAGGGGAAGAGCGAAAGAAAACGCTTGCCGAACTCCTCCCTCTCTCCTTCCACTAGCCGCTTCGAAAGCAGAGGTTTCAGCTGCTGTGCGCACGCGGTCTTTGGCCTGTTCGCTGCCTTGCTGGTGCGCCTGTCCTCAAGAAGAGATGGAGCAAACTCTTGTGCCCCCCTCCCCCGACTCTGTCTTTCCCTGTGATGCCCAAGGCGAAATTCGTCAAGCACAGCCGAGCACTCAGCCCCCCTAGCGTGTATCCTGGTGTACCATCGCCAAACTCCTTGTCTCCTTGTCTCTCGTTGTTGTCCCAGTCCCCTTCGGCACTCGGGTGTGTCTCAGATGCAGGTGGTGTCAGCGGCGTTGCCGGAGTTGTGTTGCTGGATGTAATGTAGAAGTATGATTTATTCTGCGTTTCGAACGAGAGAGAGAGGGGGGAGGGGGGGGGG